CTGTTCTCAGTAGTGACAGCAGAACAAGGAGCAATGGTCTCAAGTTGCGGTGGGAGAGGTCCAGGTTGGATATTAGGAAAAACTATTTCACTAGGAGGGTGGTGAAGCACTGGAATGGGTTCCCTAGGGAAGTAGTAGAGTCTCCATCCCTAGAGGTGTTTAAGTCTCAGCTGGACAAAACCCTGGCTGCGTTGATTTAGGTGGGATTGGTCTTGGCAGGGGGCTGGACTTGATGACTCCTGAGGTCTCTTCCAGCCCTATGGTTCTATGATTCTAAGTCAGACCTGAGGCGCTATCCAGCAGCCCAGCCATAACATGGCCCATTTTCCACAAGGACACTTCTCACTTAGTGAGGAACCAGCCAGGGGCTCCTGACGCCACAGCGCAGCGCAGCCTCCTCCACCAGGGGAAAGAGGCGATTTTCACAAAGCAAAGAGAGGTCCCTGTGGAGCATCCATTAAGATGTCTACCACAGGACGGGTGCTGGAACTTGCAGAAAGGCAGAGTCTAGAAGTTAGATATGAATAGTTGAAATGGCCTTGATTTAAAACAATAGCTAGAGGGAATGAGCCATGCTGGGGTGCGTATGGTTACACTGCTGGCGCACTTCTTGGGGGCTGAAGGCACTTTACATTCATCCACGTCTGTTCTATTCCAGACAGACTCTTAGAGCAACCTCATCACCACAGTATCTGAGTGCCGTCCAGCAGCTCATGAAATGGCATGATCGACCTCTCACATTGGCTGTCTGCCTCAACCTCCTCCCAGGTGGAGGGCTGTGTGCTTAGGGAAGGGGTTTAGATTTTAATTACATGCTACTCTGCATGCACCTCAGCAGGCAGGGCAAAGAAGGGCACCTCGTGCTTGGAGTGAAAGCTGGCAAGGTCTGGGATAGCTCTTTGTTCCTGAGTGTTCATTCCATATTTGCGGCACAATGCCGCCAACATATTCATGAGAACACAGCCATGCATCCCTTGTGATGGCTAATCGCCATCGTGGCATAAGTGGTCAACGTGCCTACTCCAAGACTGGCTGAGCAGGGGGAGCAGTGGGATGCGACAGACAGAGCTGTGCTGTTGCTCAGACCCAGGACACATGAGCAGAGCTCTCTTTCGAGACCTCTGAAGCTCATCGTGGATAGGATTATTTGTGATTCTACTGACCGCTCCAAAGCGGTAACTACGGACACCATCTACCTCTATGCTAGTGTGTAAAATTTCAACCAAACTTTAAAGGAAGCGGGAAACAGAAGAAGCATTCTTAACTGTTGAGCCGGACGGAGAGCAGGTTTAGTGAACAAAAGAAACGGAAAATGCAAATGTATCAAAGTTAGCAAGCTTTAATTTGGGGGGAGAACGAAGGGCTGTATGGTTTAATACAGGTAAGCTAGAAGCTATCAGCAATGAACTCAAGATAGCTAATCAAAGATGGCAAAGTTTCCTGCCTCCCCACCCCATCCCTACCCCCTCAGAACATGACTCTTCACGATGTAGAAGGGGAGCCCTACGCTGGCTAGAAGAGGAGCACAGCCACACAGGCCAAATGGCACTGTTCAAATTGGGTGGGAGTCTGAACGTTAGGCAGCTACACACAGGAAAAAAGGAGCCAAGTTATCTTTGAGCAAACTTGTCCGCCCTTCAACTAGCAAATCCTGAACCTCGTTGGGAGCTAAGTGGAGTCTGCAAAAGGAAGCAGAATGGAGTGTTAATCAGGCTTCTGGTTTCCAAGCTACAGCACCTGCCTTTTAAAAAAATCACCCAGGACAATTAGGTCTGCGGCTGGCTTGTTTTAACTGCCACCTAGCGGTAGTCACTATCAAGGGCACCTTCCTGGCCAGAGGTTCGGTTCAGCCTTCTCTCTTGTAGCAGTAGGAGACAGATGTTCCTATTCCTTGCCTGGGGCAGGATGACAGGGGAGGGAAGCACTTTCCTTTAGGATACCATAGCCAAGCACTGAATGGCCTGAAGTCTACAAATCCAGATCTTAAGTCTCTTCAGGCCCTCCCTTTGATTAAATCCCTTCCCCCCTCCACCCCCACTGTCTCCTGTCAGGCTTCACTGTCACTTGCTGCAGGAGTACCAGCCCAAAACATGCAACTACTTTCTTTGAGAACAATGTCCTTGCCCTAAATGAAAGGCACATTTAGAACCAGCACTGTTAGAACCACGCAGGCCTGCAGATTAGAGAAGTGGACAGAGACGAGCCAGGCCAAAGAGCAGCACCGTTTACTAGAGTTCAGTGGACCCAAGGAGGTCGCTTACCCCCTATTGTTAGCATTGAGGGGGAAACACCCTGCCTCCGGGCTTAAAGTCTGCTGGTTCACAAAAAGCTCTCTAGAAGAGACCAGGAGGGGCAGACCACTGGTTGATGGCTCTGCAGCACAGCGCACCAGGAACCAGCTCCGGAGTAGCCTGAAGTTTCACTGCCTGAGCCCAATGTTGTCTGGCAAGGGTGACGTACATGGAACTGGAGGACGACTTCCTCTCAACTCTGACCATCCTCTTGCCACTGCCCAGTTCACAGAGCAGGTCAGCCTTGCTGGAGAACACGCCCTGTAAGCGCAGCTGTCGAAATAGGTGCTATGGCGCACTGCCTGGCTTTGGTGCCCATAGCTGGTAAGAGATTCACACTCACATGCAGGGAGTAAAAATAAAAAAGTCACCCTGGGAGTTGAGGGTTGTCTCCACCCAAACACACCTGCCTCAACTCCACTGCCCCTACAAGTCCCTGTTAGTGACCTTTGAAAAGAAATCATTTGCGCCGCATTCAAAAGGCCCATCCCTTGGCGGAGGAACGGTTACGTTTGTCCAAGACCAATTCCAAAGCAGACTTTTAATGCTGAGCTATCTCCAGCACACACACAGCTAACATGGCAACATCTTGAGAGAGGGGCTGTTGATTGTCAGCATTATGCAGGAATTAGGGGTACCACTGTGCCATACGCTAGCAGGCTTTATTTAGGGGAGAAACAGACACGAACAGGGAATAAGTCCCCTCAAGTGTCATTCTTAGGACATGGAAGATGTGTTCTGCATTAGAAATATGTGCTTTAATGTGCCTGAAAGCTAAGCCCAGAATGTCTTCCGGGCAATGGAAAGTAAACAGGAGATACTTTGGGTATCTCCGGAAGCTGCCCCCCCCCCCCCCACAACAACCCCCCATACAGCGCATCCAGTAACTAATGTTTTAAAGCAGGTTACTATGGAGCCGAGTGCACAGCAAGCTGCACTAATAAGCACTCAAAAAATACACAATGCTCATATGCAGTAATTTAAAAAGCCAGCTGCCAAGGAGCCCCACTTCTCAGGAGGGAAACATTCCTGTTTTATGGCTAACCTACAGCTCTGGAGCATTTCTGGTCTACATTTGTTGTTCTTCCTCTCAGAAGATAGCTGCATGAAAGAAGAAAAGCTGAGCCTAGACCTGACTAGTGCCACCAGCAACAGAGTCAGCATGGAATGGCCGGTAACTTGAAGACCTCGGTCCGTGTTTGCAGGGACTTAAAAGCAGCCTACTGGTGGGGTAGGTTTACAAACTTTCTAGTTGCACAAAACCCACTACTCTTCCCAGCCTTTGCCCCAAACTCTTGTGAAGCTCCACCTCCACTCATGCCATCCCCGCCCCTCTGTTGCTTGCTCTCCTCACCCTCCTTGACTTGCTCATTTTCACCAGACTGAAGCAGGGGGTTGGCATCTGGGAAGAGGCGAGGGCATTGGCGGAGGGTGCAGGCTCTCAGGTGGGGCCAAAGGTGTGGAGTGTGTGGGGGGCTGCAGGTGAAGGAGGTATGGGCTCTGGGCTGGGGATGCGGGCTCTGAATGAGGAGTTCAGGGTGTGCAAGTGATTTCCAAGCTGGGGGAGGGGGTTGGAGCACAGGAGAGAGTTCAGGAGGGGGACTCTGGGAGGAAGTTTGTGTACATAAGGGTCTCAGGGCTGAAGGTGGGGTGTGAGAGTGGGGTCAGGATGTGGGAGAGGACCTGGGGCAGGGGAGTGGGAGCACTGGGCTCTTGGGCAGCTCCCCACAAGTAGTGGCATATCCCTTGGTTCCTAGGCAGAAGCACAGCCAGGCAGCTCTGCCCACTGCTGTGGTGTCCCTTCCCGCAGCCACAGCCCCTGTGGCTCCCACTGACCGCTGTTCCCCCCAAGGGGAGCAGTCATGCATGGCGGGGGCAGTGCAGAGTCCTCTTGGCCACCCCTCTTCCTAGGATGGGAGGGACACGATGCCACTTCCAGGGAGCTGTGCAGAGCCAGGTAGGGAGCCTATCAAATGTTAATGGCCCAGTCAGCAGCTAACTGATGCTGCCAGGGTCCCTTTTCAACCGAGCGTTCTGGCTGAAAACCAGACACCTGCAGCCCTAAGGGGGAAAGAAGCACCCAGGGACCCGAGACCACTCACTGGGGTACTAACAGCTCTAGCAAAGAACTATCACTTCCTGTGATCTGCCGAAATTCGGATCTGTTCTGCAAAACCATGGACGAGCCAAATTCTCAACCACAATGAAATATGAGAGAGACAAAGGAAAAAACTGGAGAACTTCACATCCTTAAACTTGGGAACAGGGCCCAGGACCTTCTAGTGTAAAACAAATTAAAAACGCAAACTAGAAGAAAAATGATGCACTTGAAATTGTAGAAATTTAAATTCACACACCTATGCCACATGCCTCCTCAATTCTGTTGTGATAAACAGCATTTCCACAGTTTCTCACTTACAGAAAATAAAATTCAGTTGAAACTATAACCTTCCTGAAGTCAGAGGAAACGTACTTGCTAGAAGTGAGCTAAGTGCCAACATCAGTGGTCTCCGAACATCCCACACGTGGATGGAGGATGCAATAACACACCTATTTTGGGGGCATGTTCTAACCTTTCACTTAATGCACATTAAATGCCCTTAAGAAAAGGAATTCTCCAGAGATTTTACTTCAATTTCCCTCTGCATAAACGGGCCGGGGGAGGTATTACAGACATATGCTAAAGCAAAGACATTGTAAAGAACTCACCGGATTTCGAAGAGCATGTTGCTGTGACGGTCGATCCCTATGTGCATGGCTGTCTCTTGTTATTGCAGATGCCCCAGAATCTACATGAATGGACCCCACTGGAGTAGGCTGGAAAAGAAAACATGCATTGCACATTGAACCAGTGCCTTTCTTAGGCTCCATTCCCATACCACTGCATGCAGAAGCTCTACTACTGTGTAAACTCTTCCTCAACGTGAAAGAGCTGGGAAAATATAGGCCTAAATTGTTTGAACAAACAATAAAAACCACAGCAGATGCTATAAAGTCTCTTTGGGACTCAGGAGCTTGCTGGACATTTACAGCCACTAACATCTCATGGTCAATTGAAAAGCAATGCTATCATTATACACATTTATAAAGGTATCCAACTCCATGATGTGGTTTAAGTTGGGTTAATTACAGTTGCAAATAGGGAGAGTTTTATGCATAGTTTTCCTCCTCTCAGGTTTCCTACTTTAGGAACAGGATGTGTTAATCAAGGCTTCATCTGCTCAGTTCCCACCTAAATCATAATCCTAGCTTGTAAATTCATGATCTCCATAGCAACCAATGGTGAATTGTTCAAGGAAGGATAGGAAGCTTGGCTTAAAATGGCTTTTTGCCCACTGACTCTGAAATGAAACATCAGTGAAGAGAAACAAGACTGATAAGTAGAATGATTTCCTTTTAAAAGGTTATTGTGTGAAATAAGCCAACAGAGGAAATACTGTATATTTACGTCGATGTAAAAACCAGAAAAGCAGAACGGCCTAAATACATAGTAATTCACCTCCTTGAAACAAACTGCCCTTTGCACGAGCCATCAATGCATGGCTTCTTTCAGATGTGCTTTATCAGTTCTCCAACACGCATCAGCAGGGCTCTTGGCCAAGCTTTCCTCCCCCTCCCCTGACAGGTGGTCCCAAAATTTACAAACAAGTCAGGAATGTAGTTAGCGTGTTCCGTGTGGTGATGGCGGACCAGGGCACTAAGCTTCTGCTACAAGCTGATGAACACGGTGACAGACAGCACGCACAGACAAGGAGAGGCTGGAAGCTAAGGAGTTAGAAAGTCCGAAACATCAGCATTCTGCATTTACCCTTTCCCGATTGCCCTCCCCACGGTGAGAAGAGCAATCGGAAAATGCATGGATATTGGGAGTTGCCCTTTTTAAAATCCCCAACCCATTGTGACGGGAGGGATTATTTCTTGTGACAAAACCAAATTTGATGAAACTATCCACATGCAAGAGGTTCTATATCTAAAAGCCCAGACTTCTAATCATGCTGTAATGGGGGTAGGTCTCCTTGCAGCCTGTTAAGTGTTGGAGCATGCCAGAAAGCAGAAACTTCCCAATTCCTGGGGCAGGTGTGGCTCATTACCAATCCATGCTGAATGCAAGAGCCTTGGTCCTGAAACAGAAAGACCTGAGGGATGGAACCCTAGGAAAATCCAAGCCTGACAAGAGCATGGAGGGGTCGGCTGGTAACACTCAATTTAAAAGCAAATCTGCCCAACAACGTAAGGTACAGCAATTATTCGTATGATCTTGTATACGAAGTGTGAGGAAGTGTCACTGCAGCACCTCCCCCCCTTTGTAGCTACGTTTAACAAGCACATGAATGTGCTTGGCAATTGGCCTGCCCTGCCAGTGCACTGCTATATGGGACACTCCAGTTGGGTTGCCTGCTCAGTGAAGGAGAGCCTCGTGTCATGCAATGGTGAAGGGTTTTAAAGAGAGCCTGCATTGTACTGAACCAAAACAGCAAGTCTTACGTGCCCACACAGCTGGAAGAGCAGCCATGAGAGACTAGGAGGCTTGTTTCTGGAAGGAGGGTGCTTGCTTTGCCAAGCAAACTTACCAGTGGCCTGCCAACCCAGTCGTAGGCATAATCAAAGGTATAACCTTTTTTTTCAAAGAGTTCTGTGAAGATGGTTCGTAGGTAATCGTAGTCTGGTCTCTCAAAGAAGTCTAATCGCCGGACATAACGAAGGTACGTGGCCATCTCTTCTGTTGCAAAAAGGCAAGGACCAAATTAAATAAGGAGTATCAATACTTCTGCCCAGACTAAACCCAGAGCAGCCCCCTGCTGCTCATGTCATCTCTGTACAGATTACAAGTCCCTATAGCATGAGAGCGATACAACTGGGGGGCCCTAGTCTTTGCAATTCTCCAAGACGACAACTGGGCAAACTTGGCCTTACAGTTTTAAGCGGTATGGCAAGTGGTTATTACAAGAGGAGGTGCATCTTTCAAAGAATGGCTAATACTTAGAGGGAGTTTGACAGAAGTGGATGAAGTTCACATTAAGTATGTTAAGTACCGCCGGGTAACTGACTAATCAAATAGTCAATGCATTTTGCATCGAATATTCAGTTAGTTAATAGGGCGCCTCCACCTTTGAAGTGTAGCAACAACCCTAGGGCTGCTGCTACAGTTCAAAGGTGGAAATGCTGTGTGGAGCCTGGGGTCACTTGGGGAACCCGGACTCCTAGCGGTGCTGCTGCTTTGAAACACTGTGGGAAGCCTGGCACCAGGCTCTTCGCAGCGTTTCAAAATGGTAGCACCGCGGGGAGCCTGGGATCAGCTGGGGATTCCCCACTGACCCTGGGCTCCACATGTCACTTTCACCTTTTAAGTGCTATACTTCAAAGATGGAGGCGCCCTATTCACTAATCGAATAGTTGATGCACAATGCATCGACTATTTGATTACTCAGTTATCCGATACTTAACATCCTTATAGCAGGGCAGAACAGAAACATTCCAATGTGTTGCTCTTTCATTGTTCCCCAAGCAGAGAGGCTCACTCAGCTATCAGACACTCAGCTTTGAAAGGGGAGGGGTGCATGCCTGCAGGGCAGCAGAGATCACAAAACACTGAACAAAGCCATCAGGGCAGGTCTTGTGGGATGCTGGCGGAAGCCTGTTCCCTCAACAAAAATACCAGCAGAGTCCAAACTGGTTCTTTGTCAACAAAAAAGGGAGGGGTAAAGAGAAAAGTCTCTTGCAGGGGTAGAAGTTTTTTGTTGGGAAAAAATACAGTTTTGGCAACAAAAGTTGCACTGCAGTGTAAATGCTCTCACCGTTTGGTTGCCGAAAGGCTGTTTTTGGCAACAAAATGTGTCAGTGTAGACAAACTCCAAGTGGTGTAATAATTCCATTTGGGCCTTACCTGGGAAGTTCTCACAGAGAACTTCAACTGGAGTATTTCTCTTCGTGTCCCCAATCTTCTGGTATCTCTCTTTTAAGGTGTCAGCCTGTAGGGTATAAAGATGAAGCATAAATACAGAGACAGAAAATCAGCAGGATAACTGATCTTATTGTGACAGTGAAGTCAAGGTGCTTTATAGACTGTCTTGCACATAGCAGGATAGAAGGACTTCTTCTCTAAACTGCACATGGGTGACAACTATGAAGTGGCGACCATACACTTCACTTGCAATGAGCTCTACCTTCCCACAACACTGCATGTGGGATGCTCACCCACACTGTTCTGATCTTGCTGCCAACAGGGTGTGTGCAATGTGGCCATGAACTGTTGACAATGGGAGGTAGAAACACAGTTTGACCTGTTGTCACTTTTGGTGACTTTTGCATGTTAGCAGTGCTTGTTGGCAAGCCTTCCTGGTATGGACATCGCTTAAAACTTCCAAGCCATGTGCTGTGCAGCTGGTGTTTGGAACAGAGGAAATAAGGTGCATGCAAAGGACTACAAAAGGGCAGCCGCATCTTCTCCATTTTGTCTTCATGTCTGGAGTAACTTATTGGCTGCCAGTGCCGTATGGTGGGTAAAATCCAAACCTGTGCTGACCTGGTAAGGAGGTTGACCCTTTGGGGTCAGAAGGACAGTTTGTACACAGGGGCAGAGGTTTTTTACATAACCGCTCACTGTACTGGGAGCCAGAGAACTGGAATGCAATGAAGGGAGCTGTGTGATTTCTTTTTTGCTTCCTGAGAACCAGTGTGGGGGGGATCAGACGCACACTGTGACCAGTTGGGGAGTCTCACTTGTGTTACCCACTAGTCTTGGGAGTATCTGCTCTCCTTGTTGGAACTTGAGTCGGCCTTGGCATTTCCAGGGAGGACTGCCCTAAGCACAGCAGGGCACACTATATTTATGTGAGATTAACTGTCTTTTACTTCACATTTGTCTACTGTCTAGATCACGGTTGGGCAAAATCTGGCCTGCCAACCCACTCAATCCAGCTGGCAGGCTACCTGAACTAGCCCGCGGGCCACCCGATTTCACCCCCCACATGACCCTGAGGCATAGAGCAGCCCTACACTGCTTTAAGCAGGTGGCTGCTCCCTAGGGCTCTCTGCTCTGGATGCTGGGGAAGGGAGAGGCTTTGTGGAAGCCTACCAATGGGAGCCGAGAGATTTTACTGGTGGCAAGGGCAGCGCCCAAAGCCTCCCCCTTTCCCTGGTACCTGAAGCAGAGAACTACAGGGAGCAGCCAGCCATTTTAAGCAGCTTGGGACTGCGGCAGGCAGGGAGCCTGCTTCTAGGTCCTGGCAGGCTGCTGTCTGTGAGCTGCCTAGATAAGCACGTCCAGGCCACAGCCTACTCTGGCACCTCAGCTCCTCCTGCCTCAGGTCACCATCCAAACCCTCTGCACCCAACGTCCATCCCACACTGTGCACCCCCTCCACAGAAAAGTGCAGCCCTTGACCATTTCCCAAAATCTTGGAGTGCCCCTCCCCATCGAAAATTATTGTCCACTCCAGTCCAGATACTATGTGAACTATATAGCTGGTTGCCATGAAGCAATAAGAAGTAACATACTCAGTTATAAAGTCTCAGAGGGGTAGTTGTGTTAGACTGTAACTTTAAAAACAATGAGAAGTCCTGTAGCACCTTAGAGCCGTGGTCCCCAACACGGTGCCCGTGGGCGCCATGGTGCCCGCGGGGGCATTTCTCGGCTCCCACCAAGTGCTCAGGGCTGGCCTGGCCCCGGGCACGTGGCGCATGCGCGGTGCCGGAGCCGGCCCCAGGCGCATGGTGCACGGTGAGCGCCGGCCCCGGG